ATGTGAACCGTGTTTGGAGGTGCTTCTTTCCAGGTCTGTTGAAGAAATGTCGCCCGAGGGCAAGCCCCTCTTCTCCGTTGCCATGGCAGTCATAGAACAGTTGTCAACAACACTGGAAATGCTTTTGTGGTTGATTAGGCACAAAAGACCACAGCATTTCTCATTCCATCCTCTTTGTCCTGCAAAGAAAATAGGCCAGTAGGCAATGTGGTCAGCAGAGAGTTTTCAATTAAAATGTGGCTGTCAAATTCCCTCAGAGATTTGTGTGCCCTCCTGCCCAGAAGTTCAAGTTTGGACCAGCCTAGACCCAGGCCTCTTGAGGAGTCTTTATGCATAGGTCTCAAGCACACGTCTGTCTCAAGCAGAACTAGGTGTACCTTCATGAGCTGTTTTCCACAAACATATGTGATCTGGGAGAGGGTATTTCTTTCCCTGGGTTGTGAGTAGGCAGGAATGTTGGCAGGTGGCATCAGTTGAGCTCAGAGTCCTCTATCTTGCGAAAATGCCCCTTGCCATAGGTTTCTGAGGGGGCTGAGTCCACAGTCTATACTTCAGGCTCCCCCGACCGGAATATAGGGTTCCTGCTCAGTCAGGCTACCGCCTTTTCTCTCGGAATGTAATGGTGGTAACAGACGGGGCAAGTTTCTAACCAACTTGATTTTTCTGGCCTCCCACCTTTACCCAAGATTGTCTGGTCTAGAGATTGGGATTTGTAGAAGGATTGACTTCTGTTCATCTCTGGGGCCCTTTTTGCCTCTGCACTTCCACGATTTTATGAAATACGTATTCAGGACTGGTCTGAGACTTACGGGAATTCTAAGGTTGCATGAACAGAGAAGCCAGCAAATGTTAGATACCCATGGAGGAGCCAAAGTAGGTGTCCTTTGTGTGTCAGGGACTTGCATAGGCGAGCCTGCGGACAGGACAAGACCAGCTTGCCTGAGTCCCTCGAAGACATCACAAGTCATGTGTCACCGCTGTTGATGCTGCAAGTTTAAGGACAGATCAAGGCCTGAGAGTTAGAAAAGGCTTCCTGGAGAAGCCAGTCCTGCGTCGCCCTTGTGGTTCCTTCCTTATTTGGAGGATGCAGAGGAATCGGGGCACGGGGGACGCCGGGCCCTGCATCCTGGCCTCCTGGGACTATCACTGAGGCCATGGCATAGTAATTAGGAATGACTGATAGCCAGTAGTGAGGGAGCTCACAGTAAACAAAACAGCCTCGCCTGTTCACACTTGCTGAAACCTGGGACAGAGTGGGGACAGATGGCCTCCGCCTCCTGATGGAACCCGGTGTGTTTACCGCATTATGTACGTGGCACAGCTCAGTGTTAAGATGCGTAATCATCATCCAGAGTCATCAAGAAGACTTAATTCATCTATCACATAGCTTGCTGTCTTCAAAAACATGAAGAAAGGTGGGGTGCAGTGGCTCACACCTGTCGTCCCAGAACTTTGGGAGGCCGAGGCAGGCGGATCACTTGAGCTCAGGAGTTCAAGACCAGCCTGGGCTACATGGTGAGGGCCCGTCTCTACTAAAAATACAAAAATTAGCCAGGTGTGGTGGCACATGCCTGTAGTCCCAGCTATTTGGGAGACTAAGGCAGGAGAATCTCTTGAAGCTGGGAGGCGGAAGTTGCAGTGACCCGAGATTGTGCCACTGCACTCCAGCCTCGGTGATAGAGTAAGACTCTGTTTCAAAATAAATAAATAAATAAATAAGGCATACTGGATTTTATCCCGAAAGGTCACAACCATTTTATTTAAGTTGTGCACTTGAGTTATGCGTTTATTTAGTTACCTGGAAATTCTGATTCCCTAATATTGCTAGATTTACTGAGCATCAGACAGACCATCGAATGCACGCGCACTTTTGGAAGTGTTTATCATGAGATCCCTTCAGCTCCAGCATTGGCTTCTCAGCCTGGGGGGCTGGCCAGACCTGCAGCAGGCTCTGAGTCAAAGCTGGAGGGAGTGCAGGATGCCTGCGCTTTCCCCTTGTTTGCTATTTTTGAGCAAAGGCTCTCACTGCTTGGGAGGACTATGAGAGCCATGCCTGTGACACCCAGGGCTGGCATCCCACGGTACCCACCTCCACCCTGGGCACTTCCTGGGACGCCAGGGCTTTGCTCTGAGGGGGCTGCCAGGGGGCTGCGGATTTGGCCCATTGGAGAGCATCCGCTGAGCCCCAGGCTGGAAGGCGGTGGGCTGGGAGCCCTGCTGGGGACAGAAACCACTGCCCTGGGCAGCGCATCACACTCACAGGGTAGAGGGCTGAGACACAGCCAGGAGGCTGCAACCCAGACATCCCTCACCGGCCCCAGCTGAATTAGGGGGATTCCCTTGGCCCTTCCTTGCAGCTGACTAGAAAAGCAAAACCCAGCAACCACAAGACAGTTTTGAGTTGAAGATGGTTCTGAGGAGAACTTCTGATAATTGCCTTCTAATTTTTAAATTTAGATCAAGGTAATACTTTTCTGTTGGAATCCAGGAGCCTAGAGATGTTTCTGTATTAATGGAGGAGTGGGGATGGCGTGGGTTTAAAGCCCAGACACTCGGAAAAGACGTGCACAGGGGTGGGAGCTGGGCTAGGCACACCAGGGGGAGAGAGAGAGAGAGAGAGAGAGAGAGAGAGAGAGAGAGAGAGAGAGAGAGTGAGAGTGTGTGTGTGTGTGTGTGTGTGTGTCTGTATGTGTGTGTCTGTGTGTGAGATCAGGGAGACGGCTGTGATAAATCTCTGGATAAGGCAGGAATAAAGAAACACTTGCACACCAGGGAGTGTATGTGAATGTGTGTGCACGTGTGCATGTGTATGTGTGTCTGTTCAGGGAGAGGCTTGCGATGAATCTCTGGATGGGGTAGAAATAAAGAAGCACTTGCCCCTTTCTGGAGAATGCCACGGATAGAGGGCAAGAACAGGGTTGGAGCCACATTGACTTGGAGATTGCCAGGTGAGACCTTCAGGGCAAACAGAGGAATCTTCTGCAGGAAGAGCTCTCGTGACACACAAACCTCCACGCAAGGCCACCCACTCAGGAAGGCTGCTCTTGTACCCCACCCTGTCCCAGGCAGCCAGAAGCTCTTCTCCATAGTTACTCAGCCCTGCATGTTCCAGCCGGAGAGCACACTCACCATCATGGGGTTCATGCTCCACATACTGGCTAAGGAGGAGCTCCTTCTGTCTATCTTGGTATTCCCAGGGCTTAGCAGACACAGGCACTCAAATGTGGGATGACAGTGAGCAACTGAGTAATTGAATGATCAGAACTTTCGAAATGTGGATTTGTTTTTAGGGGTCTTAGGTAGACCTCCATTATGCAATGTTGGTCTCACCAGATTTCCCCTGAGAGTGTTCCCCAGCCTCACATGACTTTATATTATCTAGGACAATATTAAGTACCAACTGAATGCAGCCACTTTTGGGGATATAACTCTGAAAGCTTTGCCATGATTCCGCTCTTAAGCAAGTTAGTTGACTGGCCTCTAGATTCGACTCTGTTAAAGTCTTGAAGCAGAGCTGCAAGGGGAACCAAAGGGGCAGGCAGACAGAATTCCAGTGGATAGGTTAGGAGCTCCCTTGTCTTAGTGTGAAGTGGAGATCCCTGAGCCACCCTGTGAGTGCTGGAACACAGTGTGGTCATCCAGGAATCAAAGGGAGTCCCATCCTGGTGCTCCGGCTACTGCTGATAATCCTTGTAAGCCGATCTGCTTAGCAAGGTACTAGAAAAGGAAAATCTAAAGGGCAAGATAAAAATATATCTGTGGTACTTAACATGGTGGTGGTTGGAGATGTCAGCACGTATGCTATTACACAGAGGCCACGTGTTACCGGGAAGCCCGAGGTGGAGGTCTGTAAATCATATCAGAGTTCCAGCTCTCCTGTTGATTCAGTGCATGCCATTGTGCGGGTCATAGACTTCTGAGCCTCCGTTTTCTTACCTCGAATGATTGTGGGGGTTCAATGAGAATCAGGTATGTGCAGACTCTCGCTGTGTCATTGCACGTTGTTCTTCAAAGTGGCGACTGTCCCGCACTATCGACCATGAGCATATACTCTAACCGCCTATGCTCCTTTCCTGTTGTAGGTGCCCTCCCGCATCCTCTCTCCCACTTGCTGGTGGCACCTGTTCTTTGCTCCCCTACTGCTCTCAGAGGACCAAGCAGGGGATAGGTAGGAGACCGAGAACGTCAGGACATGGATAGTCACCTTTGTACCCCTCTGCCAAAGGCCAGAGATAGTAGTCCAAGAGGCAGAGGGACCCAGAAAGATCAGATGGTCTCAGCGGAGGCCCTCTTAAGTTCACTCTGCCCTGGATGGTTGTAGTTGTTCTGGTCTGCATAAAACCTAAGTTCCAGACCAGGCACCGTGGCTCACGCCTGTAATCCTAGCACTTTGGGAGGCCAAAGCAGTCAGTTCACTTGAGGTCAGAAGTTCGAGACCTTCCTGTCCAACATGGTGAAACCCTGTCTTTTTTTTTTTTTTTTTTTTTTTTAAAGAAAAAAAGTAAGTTCCAGGATTCCCTATACACAGGGCACCAAGGCCTAGGGAACAAAACCCTCAACGAGGACCTGAGAAACCTGAATCTAGACTTTGTTCTTTACTCATTAGCTTTGCAACCATCAGTAAGTCTCTTGTCCTTTGTGGGGTCCTCAGTGTCTTCTTTTGTAAACTGAGGAAAAATAGAAAAAAAGTTTTTATGTGCATAAAGTTAAATGTAGGTTACGAGTTACAACTTCTTCCTCTTTCAACAAAGGGCTAGATGGGCTTGCAGCTAAGCAGGAGTCCAGAAGAGGGCACAGAAGCCACTTGGCCAGGGGGCTGAGTTCCAGCTTCACATTCTTCTTCTGGAGACAGAGGTGTGATGGAACCTAGCTGGCTTCTGTATGAGGTCATCTCTGATCTTTTGTGCCTTTACCTGACTCCAAAAGAGGATTTTTCTTTTAGGACCTGCTTATTCAGTGAAAAAGCTTTGCATTAATTTTGTTTTTGTTTTTCTCCTCAGTATCCAGCGAGCAGCACTGGTGGTCCTAGAGAATTACTACAAAGATTTCACCATCTATAACCCGAACCTCCTAACAGCCTCCAAATTCCGAGCAGCCAAACACATGGCCGGGCTGAAAGTCTACAATGTAGACGGTACGTGCCTTGAAAGGGTGTGTGTGGTGCTCCCAGGGGCACAGCTGGGTGACTCTTTAAGCTTCATGGTGCGTTTGGTTCTGCTTCCTCTCTGGGCCTACCTTTATGGTGCGTTCTCATTTCAGAACAATTTCTCTTTTTTTGTGTAGGCAGACACATTTTTAGAGGAATGTTGATTTACCATCTACCTGTGTGGGAAGCCTGTTCGTTTTGGGATTTTATGATTGAAAACAGTCGTGGTGTGTGTTTCCTGCCTTCTGCCAGGATCACCTTATATTGGAAGCTACTAGGAAAGGGTTGCTTTCAAAATGTGTGCACATTACCCAGAGACTCAGCTACCTAAATCGTGAAGACTAGGAATTTCAGTAGTTCAGGCCTCTGGGGAGATACTTACAGGCACTTCTTACTTGTGGCTAGGAGCCAGAGTTGAGTGAGTGCCAGGAAGGCTGGAGGCCAGGCTGGGGACGTCCGAGCTATGTTTCAGGGTATCAGCTGGTTAAGTGCAAGAAACAGGACACGGTGTCATTTCTTACGGGTACCTTGGGTGAGGACAAGGGCTTAGCAGACTCTAGGAGAGGATTATATTGTTAACAAATCTAGTGATTTATATACAGGGTCCATCTTTGGTGGCAAGATCCTCCCGGTTATTTGTTCATTTTTTGGCCCCGTGAGGTGTGAGCGCCCCCGTGAAGCTTGAAGGATTGATTAATTCCACCTGCCATCTGAAAACTTAGCAAAGATTCCCTCTAGTGAAACCAAGTCACCAGAGAAGCAGGACATCCATAAGAAAGGCTGAAATCTGCCTTATCTTTCTGAAAAGTTAAGGTGGTCAGTGGTCAGGAACCGAGACAGGATTTCTGAGTCTGTGTTAATTAACGGTCATGTGGCATGTCCTTGGGCATTGGTCTTTTCCTATAAAAGTTGTGGCTGCCATGACATTCCAGCATAGCTTGTTTTCCAGTGTGGACTCAGGGTCTCGTGTCCTTTGACTTTCTTTCTTGTCTCTTTGTCCTTGTTGTCCCCGTGCCTCTCATTCTGTCTCATCGTCTTATTGCTGAAATTCGATGTCCCAGCTGCCCTTGTGGCCAAACTGAAACTTTATGTAACAGATGGTGACATCTTCAACACACTCTGTGTGTTTTTGGCCAACATTTGAATTGTCAAGCATTCTTCATCCCCTTCTGCGTTCTTTTTCCATTTCCACTGACCAGATTGGGGTTTAGGGAGATTCCCCTCTTCTCTTGCCTTGGACCTAGTAAATGCAGAGCCAGGGCACAGTTCACCCTCCTGGAAAGGGACCTTTAGGATTTGCGTGTGTGTTTCATAGGGGATGGGTAGACAGCATTGACAGATTGTGGTGCTAGTTTTCTGCTCTGTTTCCCAGCCTCATGGTATTAACAGTATTCTTCTACTGTCCTATCCCCAAAGGCCCCAGTAACAATGCCACTGGCCAGTCCCGGGCCATGATCGCTGCAGCTGCTCGGCGCAGGGACTCCAGCCACAACGAATTGTATTATGAAGAGGCAGAACACGAACGGCGAGTGAAGAAGCGGAAAGCCAGGTATACTGCCCTCCTGATGCCAGTACCCTCTTATAAACTTTTAACATTTTCTTTTATGTTACTTACTTAAAAAACATTTTTTTTTATTTACTTAGAGACAGAATCTCACTCTATTGCCAAGGCTGGAGTGCGGTGTCAAGACCTCGGCTCAATGTAATCTCTGCCTCCCAGACTCCAGCAATTCTCATGCCCAGCCTCCTGAGTAGCTGGGATCACATTAACCCACCGCCATGCCTGGATAATTTTTGGTATTTTTAGTAGAAACAGGGTTTTGCTATGTTGGCCAGGCTAGTCTCAAACTCCTGACCTCAAGTGATCGGCCTGCCTCGAACTCCCAAAGTACTGGGATTATAGGCATGAGCCACCATACCCTGCCTCTTGTAGACTTTTAATCTTTTCTTTTTTACCACTAGAATCAGGCTTCTGTTTCAAAACCCGACCTGCTGGGACACTTTGGAGTGCACCTTGCTCCAGTGTTTTTCAAACTGAAGGCTGTATGAGCATCACTGGGAGGGCTGTTCAAATATACGCTACAGGTTCCAGGCCCTGCCTGCAAAGGCCCAGCGCAGTAGGTGTGGAGTTGGGCCCAAGAAATGGCATTTCTAACAGATTCCTGGGTGATGCCAATGCTCCTGGCCCCCAGCCCACACTTGAGTGGGCCTGTCCTGTACCCCTGGACCCTTGCTGGTGTTTACCGTCAGGTCATATTACCTGAAGGGGACAGAGGTACTTTCTGTTATGTGTGCTATGCCTCTTCCTGTTTCCCAGGGGCTGCTGGTGTGGGTGGCTAGGACAGGGGCACACAGCTCTGCTTCTTTGTAGGGTTGCTTCTGCACCACCAGCCACCTGTCTCTGTATAGAGCCTTTTTTAGCCAGTTGGAGGGGCCTCAGATAGAACTCTTTTCATCTAACCATTGCAGAGTTGAAAAAAGGATTTAAGTGAATTTCCCAAGCTCATCGGCGGCAGACTTGAGAACAGAATTCATCTCCCAGTCCTGGAGCTCCTCCCTGACCCCCGTGGCCTCTATTCTACATGTTATTTCTGCTGTTGCCTTTCCTTCTCCCTTCCTCCCTCTCCACCCTCTCAAGGACAGCGTGATTGGGCCTTGAGTATGTTGGCAGGTCGGGCCACAGCAGGGTGGACAGATGTCATTCTGTTCCCACATCCTGTGGTAGGCACCATCCTGATTTACATCACCTTCTAGGCTGGTGGTTGCAGTGGAAGAGGCCTTCATCCACATTCAGCGTCTCCAGGCCGAGGAGCAGCAGAAAGCCCCAGGGGAGGTGATGGACCCTAGGGAGGCCGCCCAGGCCATTTTTCCCTCCATGGCCAGGGCGCTCCAGAAGTACCTGCGCACCACCCGGCAGCAGCACTACCACAGCATGGAGAGCATCCTGCAGCACCTGGCCTTCTGCATCACCAACGGCATGACCCCCAAGGTGCGCTGCTCCGGGCGGGCTCTGCCACCGTCAACCTGGCTCGTTACTGAGCTTGGCCAGTTGAATTTTAGGGTGTTACTAGAAGTGATCAAGTCAAAGCCTTCTCTAAAACACCAAGTAATAACAATGAGTGATTCTCAGTTATTTTCTATTATGTTAGTACAATTGTTTTTTAAAATGTGCCTTTCGAAGGCCTCTAGATTCTGACAGAGGAGAGAATTTCACTTGGAAACAGTATGGAATAGTGATTAGAGAGAGTATAGAATCGTGATTAGGGGTGCATTATGAACCCTGGAGCTGAACTGATTCATTCTAAACTGGCTCCTCTACCAACTAGATGTGAAACCTTGGGCAGATGATAATGACTCTGTGCCTTAGTTTCCTAACCTGTTAATTGGTTAAGATAATACTAATAACTATCTCATTTGTATATTTTGGGAACTGAGTTTATTCATGTGCTTAAAATAGTACCTGTCATATGATGAGGATAGACTAAATAGCTATTATTATTATTATTATTATTATTGGAAAAAATAATGCCATCAGACATTTTGGGTATTCTAGAATTAGTTTTACTGAGTGGTCTTTTAGATTATGATATTTAGCATACTTTAAAGAGTGTTAAAAGAAACAACCATATATCTAACACAGGGTTGTGACCAAGGAGGCAAAATAGAGTAAAGATATAGCAAATGACTTCTCTGCAGAGAGGTGGGTTCAAATCCTGAATCCACCACTTAATTGGTTTGTGACTGTGCACGAATTAGTCTACCCTCTATTAGATATATGGCTGCTGCTTGTAATATCCCTAAAAGTGTGCTAAATACCATAATCTAAGAGACCATTCACTAAAACTAATTCTACAACCCCCAAAATGCAAAGTGATAGCAATATTTTTACCAGTAATAATAATAGCCATTTAGTCTGACCTCATCATATGACAGGTACTGTTTTAAGCACTTCGAATGAATTAACTCTTTCAGTTCCTCTATCCCTGTTTGATCTTGTATCAATGAGGATAATAATAATATCTATTTGATGGGGTTGCTGTGTAAGAATTACATGAAATATGGCAACATGGCATGTAAGTCGCATGGTAGAGGGTAGATGAGCGTGGCATGTGGTACACGTGTAACATTTGGTAGCTGTTTTTGTGAGGACCCCTTTTCATACATTGTACTTACTGTATGTGTATCCTGCTGGTTACATTGTCAACCAATAACTACCCTTAGGAAAGCAAAGTAGAAATATTCAGTAAGAAACTAGACAGCTTTCTGTATTGACTCACTAATCTCTCTCCTAGGAAAACTATTTAGTACAATCATATATATACATGAATATGCACAAGGGTGGTGTTTTGCAAAACAATCTGTAATACCTCCACAGTGGAAATAATTTAAAACTATCATAGTGGCTTATAAATTATGGTATATCACCTGTTTAATCATGGAAGAGTCTGTTAGAATAGTAGGTTACAAGAAGTGGAATGCAGACACCTGAGTACCATGGTTGCAGATGAGGAAAATGTGCGTGCATGTGTAAAACGATGGCTTTCCCGTGGAGATCCAAAACAGTCATTTTCCTTTTTTTTTTTTTTTTAAAGATTTTAGAAAGTTTCCTGGTTGCTTTTCATTTCATTTAAAAATCTTATACTTTTCTGAATTAAAAGTAGTAGCCATTGTCCATATAGAAATCTAAACATTAAAGGAAAGTATATGTGGAAAGTGAAGTTCTCATCCTCCCTCCCCTAGATCAGTTCTTACTGATACGGAGTTGGTGCATATTCTTTCCAATATATGTGGAGGTTTTTTAAGCTGAAATGGGAAAACAAAACAGAAACGGGGCAATTTCTCTCTCTCTCTCTCTCTCTCTCTCTCTCTCTCTCTCTCTCTTACTCTCTCTCTGTGTGTGTGTGTGTGTGTGTGTGTGTGTGTGTGTGTAAACCACATCCACCATGCCTGGCTAATTTTTGTATTTTTCTATTTTTTGGGTAGGGACAGGGTTTCGACATGTTACCCCGGCTGTTCTCAAACTCAAACTCCTGAGCTCAAGCAGTCTACCTGCCTCAGCTTCCCAAAGGGCTGGTATTACAGGCCCCGGGCCCAGCCTATATATAAGATGGATGGATGGATGGATGGATGGATGGATGGATGGATGGATGGATGAATGGATGGATGATGAATAGATGGATGAATGATAGAGATTTACATACTACATCTCTCTAATAATGTATATTATCTTTCTCTATATATAGAGAGAGAAAGATACAGATATACAAAACCTTGCTTTTTTTTCTTGAAGCTATCCCTTGGCTGTCTTTCCAAGTCAATACATACAGATCTTACTCATACAGATCTAACTACAGATAGAACTCATTTCTTGTAATAGCTACATCTTATTCTACCAAATACCGTGATTTATTCAACTGATTGTCTGCTGATACACATTTGGATTAAGAGGTTTCATTAGTCAAAGCCAGGGGCTGGGCGTATTTGTTAATCAGATTTTATTGGCACACAGCCACGCCCTGTTATTTATGTATCACCTATGGCTGCTTTCACACTGCAGCAACAGACTTAAGTAGTTGTGACAGAGATATGGCTTGAAACTCTGAAAATATTTACATCTCTGGAAAAGTTTGTCAATCCCTGGTTTAAACAGCGTTGCGGCGAATACTTTTTACCATGTGTATTTGTACAAGTATTTCTGATACATAAGTTTCAAGTAGAGCAATGGCCAGGTCAGAGTTGTAGATCCTGCCACTTTGCCCTCCTAGGGGTGTTACTTTTGCATACTTTTGCCTCTAACATCCGAGATGTTTTATTTCCCACATACTTGGGAGATTGGATGTTATTTTTTTAATCATTGCCCATCTAAGAGGAGGAAGTTAGTTTTTAATTCTTCTAGTTTATGTTTCTTTAGTTAATAATGTGATAGAAAAATTTTATATGCGAATTTTCCAATAATATTTATTCTTCTGTAAAATTATTTAGATTCATTTCTCTAATTGTTAAGTTATTTTCTTTTCTTATGATTCATAAGAGCTATATTTATATTAGAAGTGTGAGAGCCAACAAAGCCTTACTTTCTGCCTTACAATAGATGTTTCCACAGATGAAAAATAATATACCTAGCAAGGTGTCAATAAAAGAGGATACCTGTTAAAAACTGTTCTTGGCTGGGTGCGGTGGCTCACACCTGTAATCCCAGCACTTTTGCGAGGCTGAGGCAGGCAGATCACTAGTGGTCAGGAGTTCAAGACCAGCCTGGACAACATGGTGAAACTCCATCTCTACTAAAAATACAAAAATTAGCTGGGTGTGGTGGCACCTGCCTGTAATCCCTGCTACTTGGGAGGCTGAGGCAAGAGAATCACTTGAACCTGGGGAGGCAGAGGTTGCAGTGAGCTGAGGTTGTACCACTGCACTCCAGCCTGGGCACCAAAGTGAGCCTCCGGCTCAGCAAAACAAATAAAACCTGTTCTTGACTCTGTCTGGGACCTGGTTGATATGTCCCAGTATGTTTCTGTCTGTATTACTGGCTCATTTCATTCTTTCTTCCCTTCTCATAGCTAAATCGGTGTATTTATTTGATTTAAATCACATACTGTTGAACTCCTAGTATGTGCTGGGCACATTGGAAATTCACATTCTAGAAAAAAAAAACAAAACATACTTCCTGCCCTTCAAGAGAATGAAGTGTAATGTGGGGAGCAGACAGGCAAGTCAGCAATCACTTTGAAAGTAAAGGGTCACACGAGAGTCAGTGATTACAGGAGCCTGGAGGAGAACATGTTAATTTGCCTGAGAGGTTCGGGGGAGGCGGCTTAAGACGATTTGAAGGACAAGGAAGAATGAGCCGAATGGCAGCGTTTAGCTGGAGGAACAGCACATGTATCAGAACTCCATCGAGCCGGGTGCCACTGGCGCAGAGAACTCAGGAGAGGGAAGGAGGGCATCAGGCCTGGGCATCTCCTGCACTTGCCGTGTGCACACTTAGCCCAACAGGAAATAACCAGTGCTCGCTTACCGTGCCAGGCATTGCTGTGAGTGCTTTTTGAGAGCTAACACTTTCATCCTCATGGCAGCCCTGTGACCTGGGTAGTGTCACTGCGTCCACTCACAGAGAGTATAAATGATTTGTGCAGAATCACTGCTGGTAAGTAGCAGAGCATGTATATTCCACTCATGTTTCCTGAGTGCTCCTTTGGCCCTGGCCCTGAGATACTTTTGGTTCAGGAGGAGGAAGACATGGAGAAACAGGTCCAGTAGGGCCACACCGTAGGAATGGAGTGATGGAGGGGTGCTGGCCTCCAGCCACTCTACCTTCGCTCCTGTCTGTGGGTACCACTGTTCTCGCCCCTGGTTGGTAGTATGTGAAGGGGAATGAGGAAGTCCAGGAAGTCTTCCCTTCCCAATAATGTCTCAGTTGATGAGTGTGATGAGCTGGGCTCTGGTCTAAGCTGGTTCATTTGGAAACTGTTCTTCATAGGCGTGAGAGTGCATAGCTGCCTGGCAGGACTGCCTGTAGAATGGGCTGTTTCTTCTCTAATGGCTTTTCTCCTCTGCTTCCAGGCCTTCCTAGAACGGTACCTCAGCGCGGGCCCCACCGTGCAGTATGACAAGGACCGCTGGCTGTCTACACAGTGGAGACTTGTCAGCGACGAGGCTGTGACTAATGGATTACGGGATGGAATTGTGTTCGTCCTTAAGTGCTTGGACTTCAGCCTCGTAGTCAATGTGAAGAAAATTCCATTCATCGTACTCTCTGAAGAGTTCATAGACCCCAAATCTCACAAATTTGTCCTTCGCTTACAGTCTGAGACATCAGTTTAAGAGTTCTATATTTGTGGCTTTATTAAAAAAAAAAGAAGAAGAAAAATATAGAGAGAGATATATATCTATCCCAGAGGGGTGTCTTTTTTTTTTTTTTTTTTTTAATTCTTCTTCACTGCTGACTGAAACTGGCAGGTGATAGACCAGTATCCTTTGACCATCTGCACTTTATTTGGAAGGAAGCAGGGACTGTCCACCCTGAAAAAAAGTGACTGATGCCATCTGACTTTTGTCGATAGGACTTCTCAAGAAGCTGTTCCCTGGAGTTTCTGTTACAGCTGTAAACCAAAGTGGAGCTGGTGCATTCTTGGGAGCCTCGCCTTACAGCAACTGCTTCCTGCCTGTCGTCCAGTACCACGTCCCCCATTGCTTCCGGTCAGCCCACTTGTAGACTTCCAGGGGACACATCTTTATTCTGTTTCAGGAAACCGGTCACGACACGTCCACACGTGTATTTGTGTATGTTAATGTTCAGTATCACATCACCCATGAGAGTCGTGGGCAGTTCAGGAGACACCTGCCTTCGTCTTGGTTCTTTGTTGCCTTCGGTTCTTCCGAGAAAAATCACAACAAAAAATGTGCACTGTTGTTTACAGCTATTAAGTGATTTGATTTTGGGTTTTCTTTTCCCCAAAGAGAAAACCTACCCACCCTGTTTCGGATCCCGCCCCTCTACTGGCTTGAAGCAAGTAGCCCTTTCCAGGCCCTGCAGCTGCCCACCTGGCCTCCATGCCATCATACCCCCACCTGGCTGGCAGTCCTGGCTCTCCTTGTGTGCCCTCAGGCTCTTTGTGCAGCCTCGAGTCGGTCCCAGGATTGCTTCCATAGGGAAAGTGGGGTGCCCAGCAGGTGGAGCACAGGGAGAGCAGGCAGTGGGAATGCCCCCTTTAGGCTGCAGCAGGAGCCCCGCCTTGCCCAGTTTTCCTCCCCACTACTCTACACCAACCAGGGGAGACTAACACTGTGACTCTGGGATTGGCAGGTGCGACTTGGAACCACTTGATTTCCTGGAGTGGTAAGTTCTCCCGAAGCTTATAGCAAGCTGTCCTGCCCAGGGAGACCAAACCATGCCAGCCCTGCTAGCAACTGCTGCTGCCAGGCCCTGTGTTTCTGACCACCGTCACTGTGCGGCTCATCGCCTCGGCCACTCAGGACCAGGAAAGAGGCTCGTTTTGCTCCCACTCTTAGCTGCTGATAAAGTGAGGAGAAGGAAAACGGACACTCTGCGGAGTTTGGGGAAGGGAGAGTAGGGAGCCTGTCTTCTTGTCCAGAAATATTCATCTGTGAGCTGTCTCTCTCTCCTTTTTTTTTTTAGATGGAGTCTCGCTCTGTCACCCAGGCTGGAGTGCAGTGGCGCAGTCTCGGCTCAATACAACCTCTGCCTCTCGGGTTCAAGCGATTCTCCTGCCTCAGCTTCCTGAGTAGCTGGGATGACAGGCACGCGATGATTTCAGTGGCTTTCCCCTGGCCCTGGGAGAGCAGACACTGCTTGGGTTGTGGGTAGAGGAGCCATCCTGGTGGAGCCCTGCTGCAAGGAGCTTCTTCAGGAGCCCCATCCGGACCTCTTGCACTGGGCTGCCTTTGTCCCCACTTGCCTTCCTGTGTCTGCAACAGACCTTTTAAGTGTTCACTCTTGCTTTTCCCAGTATTTCAGGTCATTGGCCACCTTGCTGTAGTACAGGATGACACTGTCCAATGCTCTTTACCCCCTGCTTCATGCACTCTACACGTGGTACCGTATTTTGTGTCATTGTAAAAATCAAAATTGGCTTTGGATCTCTGTAATACATCTGTACCTGAAAAAGTAAACAGCATTCTTCAATCACCAGCCTTCAGCTTGGGAAAAGACATGCTGGAGAAGAAGGAGGGGGGACCCATAGATGTGGCATGAAGCCAAGATGTGCTATTCAACTATGTGGTTCTGTTTATAAAAAACACATACCATGTAACCATGGTGCTTTTGTTCTTAGTTTTTGCCTTTAGGTCCCTTTGAACTGGAAGTTCCTAATACTGTCTTTCTCAGGAAATATTTTGGGAGACGGGGTAAGGGATGGCAAGTGTGAGATGGGCTGTGTCAGAGGGTGCTCTGTCATAGATACAGTGCAGTTCAAAGTGCCATACGTGTGTGTACATATGGTTAATAATGACACTGTTCATCACCATTCTAAAATACCGTTCTTCCAACCCTATCTTAAGTGACCAGTCCAGAAGGGGTTAAGCTGCATTCATTTGCTCTGGCATGTGCATTCCCAGCAGGGTGAAGAAAGGTCTAAATTTGAGAATTTATATTCTCTGTCCCCCTTCCTCTCCCTCCCAGTCTTTGCATAGGAGAATGTCAGACTTTCAAGAATTACTGTTTCTGTTTTAAATTGAGTATTGATTTTTTACATTGACTTTGTATTGAGTTCTTTTTGAAAGAATAACAAAATAAAATGCAGGATCTTTGTAACGCCTTTGCACTTTCAACCTTTTAATAGCTTGAGTTACTGGCACAGCGGGAGCAATGTAAATGACATTTAAAAGACTGAAGATTTCAGAAAGCTGCATCCCACAATTGAACACAATGCATTTTTATTTCAATTCTTGGAACCAGTAGGCTATTCTTTTTAAAAGGGGGTAAACTCTGTCCTAAGACTAGTAGAGCATATGTTCATTTTTTAGGAGACAGGATTTCATTTGCCTTAAATGTTTATAGATTTTTTTAAATGATTTTCAACCTAAGTTATTAAAATTAGAGCACTGAGCGTTAAAGAGCTTAATGAGGAGTGTATGTCTGAGATCGCTCTCTTCCCTGGCGATGTTTCCACTGGTAGATAACTTGTTCTTAAATGTGTACTTTTGAAGATAGGACAGTTTTTATTGTCCATGAATTGGATGTTAAAAAGTTCCATATGCATTCTCAGAGGGGATTTTAAAGCTATAGGGTTCATCCATCCTTTGCATTATCAAAATGTTAAGTCAAATGCATAATATTTGGCTAAAGTTCGTAAAGTAAGCCCTAGAGAAAATACTTGAACACCGATTTTTTCCACAACTTCATCACCTCCCTCCCTTGCCCCTCCCACATGGCTCTGTTCTTCCCTTTTGACATTTATATAGAGGACAAGTTTTTTACAACAAATGGTTAAGAGGCAGGTGACCTGGTGTGTTTGCTGTGTGTGGTTCATTGCCTGGGGCTTGGGACTCCTTTTTTAATGGAGAGACTGGCTATGCAGGTGTGTGTTGGACAGGGCTGAAGCTGCGCACCCCTCCCCTCTCTACAGTAGGTGGTGGGAGTTGATTTCTCTCTCATTTTGCCTCTCATAATCACTTTGGAGTGCACGTATTTACCTAAGGGCTATCGCTTTGTGGGATTCTACCAGCATATTGGACTGACAGAAATTGATTACCTTGCCACTCCAACCCACGTGCTGAGTGAGTGTTCCAGCCACTCCGTGAAACCAACAAAAGTCAGTCCTTGGTTTACCTTCCAATCTGGGCCCTGCTGTGTAAGTCTCCCTAAGTGGGGATGCATATTTGTTTGTGTGGTTTTGTTTCCATATATGGGAGCATTTCTCTGAGTAATACCAGATGGATAGCACACTTATATGTCAGACTCTTAACATCTGTGTTATCTGTAGCAGATAGGTGTGTAGCTCGGCAGATGTGTGTGAAATGTGTATATAGGTGAGTGTGTGAGGGTGTGTTTCTGCAGTCCCCTGTGTTTAAGAGATTACCTGATAACCTTGTGTTTTGCGAGGTCACTCTAAAACCAATGACTTCTCCCTCCCCTGCTTTATTCCTTTCCCTCACTGACACTGGCTCCTCCCCTGAGTAAATGGCTTTAGCGCAGCACTGTCTTCTGGGGAGCCCGCTGTCCTGCAGGCAAGTCCTTGAGAATTACTGCCCAAACTTCACTACCCTGGAAGCCTTACTAGATATTTCTTAATGTAACTTACAAATTGGGCTTTATTTTTAAAAAGTGATAGGTTACTTAAAGCAGCACAGAAATGTTAGCATATTTATTTAAATAGTCCTGCAGCAGAGACCCTGTGATTGTAAAGTGATTTAAGTATTTCTGGGTAGTGTTTGTGCTTTATGGATTTGTTACCACAAAACAAACAAACAAACAAAAATCACTACTGTGAATTTACTACTATGTAACCTTGTGGTCGTATTTTATAAATAAAATATGAATTGCTCTTCTGCCCACCGTGCTTGATTGGTATTCAGTGCAGTAGTCAAATGAGATAGTTTAGACACTGTTAAAATAACTGCATTGAGCTTTAACCAAATATATGCTCTGAAAATTCTATTTTGGATCACATTTTGACAAAACATGTTTGTCAAAGAAAGGAAAGGCTACTAACATGTTTATCAGGTACTGTATATCACAGCCCATGTTCCACCCTGCCTAGTTAGCCCCACATTCTTTCAAGATAGGAGTTATCTTAGTTTTTCAGGTGAAAAAAGAAAGATCAGAGAGGAAGGGGTTTGCCCAAGGTCTCATGGCTGGTTAAGAGAATTTCAAACTAGATGTTTGATTCTAACCCCTCAGTCTTCTGTACCTTGAAGTCTGGTCTAAATTATTTCGCACTTTGGGGTGTTGAGGAAGGACCTAGAGACACATCCTGGGGTGGAAGGCAGGATCTCTTCTTTCACTTTGGATTTACATCTTGTCCTTTGGGAAGCTTCTCCACTATGCTGGCAAATATCTTGGCATATTTGATGGAAAGAACTTGAGAATCCCCCTTACCTTCTGGAAAACCCAGCCCTGCCAATGTTGCACCTGCCTCAAGACAGGGATGCTGCTGCTCCTTCAGCTCCCTTCGCTTTTGCCTGGTCCCACCTGCTGCTCCCACTCTGCTGGCTTGGGCAAGATGCATGCCTTGGGCCTTGGGTACAGGGGGGCAGGCAAAGGCTTGGCCTGGCCTCTGGTGACATGGCAACATTATGCCCCAGCCTTCTTCCCTGGTTGGAGTGGGAGGGGCAGCCAGCAGCCCCTTCCTGGGGGGATCTCGAGCTGGAGTCCCTGGCCTGCCTCCTTGACATAGGTGTTCTCAGCAAGCAGTTTACATGCCACTGTTTTTCCCACACTTGCCCTCAAGACTTTTGACAGAGCAGACAAAACGGGACTTGGAAAACCATTTTTCTTTATTCTCATACGTAGTAAGTTTTGATGCAGTTGTGCATAGATGGTTTCTGCCCTGCTGTTTGCTTTCAGTGGAAGTCAGTAAAGGGAAGATGGTGCTCACGTCTCTCCTAGTTACATCTGGTTAGGCATTAAGATGTGATGGATTAGAAATATAAAACGTCAGAATAAAATTAAATTAGAAATGTAAAACTTCGGAATAAAATTAACTTTTAGGGCTCTGTAAGTCCCTTTTTCCTGGGTCCTGTTATATTTCTACCCAGATAACCCAATTTGTTTTGTCTTTAAATAAATCTCTTTACTGGGTTGTTTTAGAGTCTCTCCAGCAAAAGAACAGATTCCTAAAGCCGGACGCAACACCATGAAAACTTTCTTATAATATGACACCAAGAGTCTACCATTTATGTCTGTCTCAGCTTATAAACATCAGGGATTCGTCTTGTCTTAGTGGAAGAAATACACTTATTT